TGGTGGCTCATGCCTATAATCCTAGCACTCTGGGAGGCCGAGGCGGGCAGATTGTTTGAGCTCAGGAGTTCGAAACCAGCCTGAGCAAGAGCGAGACGCCGTCTCTACTAAAAACAAAAAAGTTAGCCGGGAGCGGTGGTGCATGCCTGTAGTCCCAGGTACTCGGGAGGCTGAGGCAGTAGAATCACTTGAGCCTAGGAGTGTAAGGTTGCAGTGAGCTATGATGACACTACTGCATTTTATCCGGGGCAGCAAGACAAGAGCCCCCTGTCTCCAAAAAAAAAAAAAAAAAGAAGAAGGACTCCTGTTCTCTTAGCTGTGGAGTTCTTATGTGTTCTTTAGCTCTTGTTAGTTACTCCGTAGTCCAAATCTGTGGAATCATCACTAACAGTTTTTACCAATATTTTTGTTTGCTTAGTCTTTCATCTTCTGAGAAAGGTAGTTATGGATTTGAAATCCTATACAGGGAATTATAAATTCTCTTAGTTTTGTGTTGGGTGTTCTGCAAATGTGTTGTTACATGTGTTTAGACTTACAGTTTTATTTTCTAAGTAAAAAGGTTCCTTTTAAAGTAACAATTCTCTTTATCTCTTTTGTTTTAAAGTCTGTTTTATCTAGTATTAATATTGCTATGTCATCTTTCTTTTGTTTACTAATTTCCTGATCTGTTTCTATCTTTTTATTTTTCTTTCTTCAATATCAGTTTCGTTATAATGTATCTTAAATATTCAGCCCAGTATTTTCTCTCTGTTTTTTCCCACCTTTTCTGACTCCTATTGAATGGATTAAATTTTCTCTTGTTCTTCTTTTGCATTAGTTTGGAAATTATATATTTCTATTTCCATTTGTTCAAATTGGTCACCCAAATCTAAAGTTAATCAGGAGCTCTGTTCTATTCTCAAACAACACAATAAGCTTTGATCATTTGAATGTTCTTTTTTTCTTTCCATATTATCTTTGACTAATTTCTTAGATCTACATGGTTTTTAAAATCCCAACATTAAAATTTTTAACAGAATGATCAAGCTATTTATACGTTTTTTGGCTTATCATTGTGTCACGAATCTTCTCTTTTTCCCTCTGTTATGGATTCTATTATCTGTGTTTAAATGGATTTGTAGCTTATTTCAGATTATTTCTAGTTCTTGGGGTTCTAATGGTTCTACTAGTTACTTTTTCTGGGTCTTTCTGATTTTCTTCGTGTGGCTTCTAATTTTTTTTTTTGAGACAGTCTAGTTCTGTCGCCTGGGCTAGAGTGCAGTGGTGTCACAGCTCACTGCAACCTCAAACTCCTGGGCTCAAGTGAGTCTCCTGCCTCGGCCTCTTGAGTAGCTGGGACTACAGATGTGCGCCTCCATACCTTGCTAATTTTTTCTATTTTTAGTAGAGATGGGTCTTGCTCTTGCTCAGTCTGGTGTTGAACTCCTGAGCTCAAGCAATCTGCCAGCCTCGGCCTCCCAGAGTGCTAGGATTATAGGTGTGAGCTACGTTGCCAGGGCTAATTTTTTGATATTTTAAAATTTTTAACATGAGCTCACATTCATTGAGACTGCTTTTTGCTTTAGGAATCCCATGTGTCCTGGTCTTTGGAAATGTCCCTAGAGAGCACTTTGCAGAAATGCAGGCGTCACTGGAGGCTTTCATCATTGTCAGCCTGGGGCCCCGTGGCTGGTGTGTCCTAGGCCTAGGCTTTCACGTTCCTGCCGATGCTCTTCTGTGCCAACCCATCCCTGACAGGTTCCTTGTCATCTCCCGAGACGTGGACAGAGTTATTCTAGTTCCCTTTTCCTTTCTGGAAAGCGTACTTCTTTGAATTTCTGGGCTTGATGCGTGGAGTTCAAATTCCATTCCAGCCTCACCCTTCCTATAACAAGCTTGAGGTCACATGTTCCATTCTCTGGAGGGTGTTAAAGCTCGGCCTCTTTGGGTGGTCCCAGACTGAATCTGACCCCAGACCTTCTTGGGCCTCCATGGAAGTCAGCTCCCACTCACCAGGTCTGCCTTTGATCTCCCTTCACGTTATGTTTGGCTAGGGTAAAAAAAAGTGTGTGTGTATGTTTGCAGTTAGTCCTCTGTGTCTGTAGGTCTGCATCCTTAGATTTAACTAAATTCAAAGCAAAAATAATAGGAAAAACAAAATGAATGTGTGCATTTGTACTGAACATGTACAGACTCTTCCTACACGTGTGGATGTGAGGGATCTGTGTTAGGTTGGTCTCCCATGTATACAGAAGTCAGTCTGTCACGATAGTTGCCATTTGTTTTAAACTTTTGATATGTCTATTTTGATATCATTTTAAGCATTTTCAGTATTGTTAGAGGTTTGGATTAAATCTGAAAATGCCAAAATATTCATGATATTTTTGAGTGGAATTGAGAAATCAATATTCTAATAATAGAACTTATTGAAAGGAAAGTCATATATTTTATGAAATTGTCAGTTCATCTTAAGATCTAATAGTCTTTTCAGAGTAGCCCCAGATAAGATATTGCTTAATTCTTTAGTGTATTTGGGTATATAAACTACCTCAAAAGCAGAATTTAACACTTATTTTTGAAGAAAATAAGCAATTGTAAAATTGCCTAGTAAAACTTAGGTAAGTTTACCTTTAATGCTGACTCTTAATTTATGGTTCCAAAAGACAGTGGTAGCAACATAAGTTGTGCTGTTTATTAATATATTCTTTTCATAAATCAGTCCCTTTTTGTTTATAATTAGGTAGAAACAGAAAAGAAAGATGTTCTTGATTTTGGTGACTTGACTTACGGAGGCTGGAAAGCTCTCCCCCTGAAATTGATAAACAGGACGCATGCCACTGTGCCCGTCAGACTGATTATCAATGCTGTAAGTACTAACATACAGCCGGAAACCGTATACGGAATACATTTGGATTTGTAAACACTGTTAAGATCATTCTTGGTTAATTTCTCTTATGAAAGTAAATTTTTTTTAAGGATTTTGTTAACAAATTTAACGTTACAGCTTTACTGAAACTGATTCTGCTATTCCTGAACAGAATGCTGTAGCCTGGCGCTGTTTCACGTTTTCCAAGGAACCCGTGCGTGCTTCTGTGGCAGCTGGTCCTTACGCTGATGTGGGGGCTCAGCTGGCAGGCCCTTCTGTGGTCAGTCACATGATGCCTGCTAGCTACGATAGACAGGTAGGTGGGGTGGGGGGTGGTGAAGAACTGGCTTAGAATTAAAGGAAGTTCAGTTTCCAAACTGCTTGTCTTTTATTAAATTTTCGATCTTAATACCAGTATACATTAACAAATTTTTTTTTTATTTTATAGGATCCAGAATTTCTGATAATTTGGGTTCTTTTCCATAGTCCAAAGAAACGAATTGGTTCTTCAGGTATCATGTCTGTATT